AAGTATTTTATCTAACAAAGATGTAATAAAGCTGATTGGAAGGACATTGAAAAAATGACACGTAACTAATAGTATATGGAAAAAAGTAAATATTTCTAAATTTTGCGTATACAAGTATTATAACAAATTATACATTTAGTAATCATCAACAGTTATTTCTATCGGCGGTATATACCGCCATGTATGTCCAGCATTCATTAATTCCGAACAGACTACTGGTGTATTTGGCGCCGATTCTTTACTACTACATTGAATATCTATTTTATATTGTCCAGCTGTGAAAAATACAACACGACACTCATGATACACTCTTCCATATTCTTGTAACTACAAATAAAACAATTATTAGTAACATGCATTTAGAACTAAAAATTTTATGAACAAAATTTTTTGACTCACAGCTGGAAGCACAACTTTATTTGCACCAGCAATTGACAATCTTGTGTCCAATTGATAATTATTAACACCATTGTGATGATCTTGATAGAAATTGATAGACAACATAAGGTCACTCAATGGGTGCTCCAAAGCGTTGCAAATACCTATTCCAACACAAACACATTCCCCTAAACAGCATGTAAGTTCATCTTGCGCTTTAACAATTGTATCGTTTATTTTTATCTCTGTAAGAAACCGCAATTATCAAATTTGTATTTCTACATGACAACAAAGAAGATTTTTATTCTCTTTCTAAATAGCGTTTCTCATGTTATTAATTAAACATACCCCACTGCAAAGGACTCATCCTAACAAGATCTAACATATCTTGGGTGAGAGTAATCCCAGAAAGTGTTGCTTTACCGGTTGATTCATTGCCTAACAATTGCCAGCGTAAATCAACTAATGAAGCAATGTGTTCCGAGCAAACTTTTTGTAGTTCTCCGATGTCACCAGTTCCATTTAACTAATCATCAAATGCGAAAAAAAGTGATTACGTTTCGTTACTATGAAATATATAATTTTTTTATTACCAAAGATAATTTATTAAGCGGGCATCGATCGACTGGTACTGGAATTCTACAAGATTCTTTACCCTCCATGTATATACATTTAGTTTCTGTGTAATGCAATTCCATTTCATGATTGGACATATTTGTTAAATCCAGTACAAGATAAAATTGTGATGGCCTAGAAACATATGTATATATACATATAAATCCAAATTATTGATGAATTATTGTGTTTGCGTTATCACTTACGTTTCTGCGGGAAGTACATCCCAATTTGTAATTTGTACGCTAGGTAACATTTCCATTGTTATAAAAACAGAAGAAATGCGACAATAACCTGTCGTTAAGCCTGCACCGCCTGAGTATTTTATTTTTAACTGTCCTTCGGTAATATTTGAAGTATGCAATGGAACAGCGAGCTTCGACAAACGCGAGCTTGGCAAGGAAGAATGTCCAGAATGAGAACTTAGACCTGACCTAAACGAGGAAGTTAACTCGGATTGTCTCTTCGTATGAGATGGAGAACTTAATCTAGACGGTAATGAACTATGTCCCGAATGAGACATTAAACTGCTCGGTTGACTTAGGTACGTGCTGCTGCTAATATCTAAAAGAGTATTGAAAAGCTATTAACTATTCAATTGAATTGTGGTGAAAAGAGAAGACACTGAATATTACCGTTACGAGTTGTAGGCGCTATAAAATCTGTGGCCGCGTATAAATACAAAGTAAGACTCGCGCTATTGCCAGGTTGCAATGGCAATTGTGCCATTAGATTTTCATCGCTCCATTTGAATATTTTATCTTCAGTCACTGTGTCTAATGTTGATTGTACTGATAGTTCGATTGTTTCAATAGGAACTTGGCCACTGTTTGTAATTGTTACTACACATTCGACACTACGAAAAGATATGGTCAGCTTCCATTAAAGGAATAATGCTTACTTATATGTGAATACAAGAGTATACCTTTCTCCGCCATACAATGATATACTTGCACTAGTTACGATATTGTCTCCAGAACTAAAACTCGCAGTTTGAGGTAAGCTTGTAACCACATCTATTTTCGGCAATGCTGGAACCACTTCGACCGTATATTGCGAGTGAGTCATTCCTTCCATGTATCTTAATCTACAGTTCGATTTTACCCCTAAAGTATGGGTACTAAAACCAAGAATCTCTAAATCGCCAATTTCTTTAGGTCTACCCGCTAATGTAACTGCGATTGGACCTGATTCCGCGGGTAACGTAATACTTTCTGGAATCGATTCAAATACTACGCCATTTGTAAGAAGTCTCATGTTAGAAACGTGAAGTTCGAAAGGCAGGGGATTAATGAGTTGCATAGATACTTCACAGATATCACCCTCCACCCACAAGTAATCTGTAACAGTATGTACAGACCTATTTTGTAGTAATTATAAACGTAATTTTAGTGTTATTACCTAATTCAAAAGAACATACCAACTTTACTTTTTGATATATTTTTTCTTTCCAATGATCCAAAATTAATTGGCGTAAATAAAAATGGGCCGTGGTCTTCTTTGACCCTTTCGATCTTTTGGGGTTGTAGATGCGGTTGCATATTTTTTAAGACGAAAGATTTCGTTTTTGGAATGTTTGTTAAATTTGCAGGTGGTATTACCGTACCGGAATCCAAAACCTATTGAAAACGTTTTATCATAGATTCAGAAATTTGTATCATTTTCATAAAACTTACAAGAGGTACGGGTGCGCCTTCGCATTGCTGAGAAACGTTCTGAAGTTGCAAAGCGGTATCTTTACGTTCATTAGGTGTTAAATAATTATACATGGTTTGAAGTAAAAATGTCATATGTCTGGTTGCCAATGCTGGATTACCCATACGATTGGCTGCGGTAACAAGTTCGTTTATCACCTGAATTTGAATAACTGGCCAACCTCTATGATTTTCTGTATATATAAATTTTCTCTTAATACTATTGTGATACAATATATTATGGAACTATAAAAAAAATTACCGGGGGACATGTCAACAGGATCGAGAGACAATTTAAATCCAGAAGTAGCTTGCAGCATTAAATTATAACACTGTTGCCAATCTGGATTAGGATTATTTTGGGATACGTGTCTTGTCGCAGCTAATCTCAAGCAGAAAGATGCTTTTCGTACAAAACCGAAGCTTGTGTACAAATCGGATAGCGTAGTAAATCGATCGATCTGAAAATATTATCTTACTTATAACTTAATTCTGCTTATTCAGTAAATGACGTGTCTCATTTAAAATACATACTTTTTCTTGCTCACTTAGTGACAAATTAATAAGTATGACATTACTCAAATATGAAGCAGCTTGTAAGGTGCAGTTTTGCTCTATTGAAATTCTGGTAGCTTTAAAACTAGCTTCTGTTTCAATTACTCCAGCATATTGATATTTACTGTAGTGAACTATTGCCTCGCGATATTTTTTCGATATTTCCTCAGGTAACAAAATATGTGGCATGTTGCTTTTCACCACATCTACAGCTGGAGGTGATGGTAAATTAACCACAGCTTGTGAACCTCTTCTACATAAATCATCATAGTGTTATGGAAAATTTGAAATATAGATGAAATTACCATTACAAATTCCAAGATACATACCTCTGCTTACCTGGACTTCCTTCTTGAAGGGAAGAATTTCTTTGCAATGGAAGACTTCGACACATATTTGGATAAAGTACCAAGGCAGATGCAGCACATAAACCTTCGAACGCTGCTCCTAACCACAGCCAATCATTTACAGTTTGTAATACGCTAGCTGCAGAATTATAATTACTCAGAGCATCTGCTGGAAGTCCAGCTTGTAGACAAAGATCACCCAAATGCTTTGTCATTCGCCCTACACATCGTTTTCTATTATTTCTTGACTCAAGGTCTAGTCCTATAAAATCTTTTTTTTCAAAGGGTGCTAACAAAAGGGAAACTCTGTCTATCTTCTCTCGTGACCTCTCTAATCTTTTAGATTCCAAAATCCAGAATAGAGAATTGAGACATTCCATGACATGAGTCTCAAGATCAGAACATATCTCATCAGTATAAAACACAGCAGTAGTTTTAAAATTTGATGGTGTACTGAAAGGCGATGGTGGCTCATGTACATTATTTGATGGTGATGAACCAAAGAAGATAGCACGTGAATCATACAATGTCGCAGTGTATTTTACTTTCAAGCTCTCGTGGATTCTGCACAATTCATTCAATTCTGCTTGATTGTCATATTTGCCAAAGGTAATTAATCCCAATAACTTTCTGTGGGTTTGAAAATCTCCCCAGTCGTTGTTCTCAACAGGATGTTCTCTAACAAATCGTGCAAGTATCACACGTGTCCCACCAGTAGAATCAGCCACTGTGAATCTACTCCCTGCCTTCATGATCCTTTCGCATAACCTAGTAACAGTTTTCTGTTTGATTTGTGTGCCAATAGGTCTTAAAAGTAAAAGTAACGCGGCATGATCGTGAGCAGTTTGCTCGTAATCAGGATGAGACATTTTGTTGTCGGGTACCGGACTCGACAAAATAACGCTTATAGCCGAGCGCATTTATGTCACTCGCCACTAGTGGTACTTTACGGTACCTAAGCTCTCATAAATGTTAATTTTTAGTGTATAATCGATATCATTGTACAACGTATCTTTAATTTCATAATTAAATTCTACATTCATCGTATTAACATGTAGAATGTTACTCTTCGTCTGGTAATTGTTACACTCTAACTCTAAGGTTATTCTAGCAGAAACGTCAAAACTTCCATGTTTAAAATAGATCGAATGCGCGTGTGTGATACGAAATATAAATTATTCTGGTGCGAATGCGAATGCAAAGGAATTAAGCAGGAATTAAGACATTATAGGAAAGCAAGCATGGTGAAGTAAATATTAACTTTACAACTTTCAGTTTGGGGCATATTCAGTTTTTTCTTTTAAGTCTCTATACATATATAGAATAATATATGATTTATCTTAATTATCTACACAACTTGCATTGTACAAAATTGGCACATGGATAAACAAGAACAACATTAAATATTTTACTGTCACTCACAGTACAAATACGCAATATTAGCTAAAACGAAGTACACATTTTTACGATTACAATAAAAAAGCAATAAAAATTTACGAA